AACCGTTATCATCAACCGCGGGGTCGTTGGTTCAGAACTAATAACAACTACGGCTCCAACAATCTGGGATATGCTCAGGGATATGATGGCTATGGCAATGATGGCTACCAGGGAGGTTATCAAGGGGGCTATCAAGGTGGTTATGGCAATGGTGGTTATGGCAATGGTGGCTATGGAAATGGATACGGGAATAGTAATTATGAGCAGGGTCGTGAGAGAGTTAAGGTTAATGTCAAAGTGTATAACAACGCTGATGATGAAGTGGCGCAAAGATCTTATGAGTGATAATCATATCTATCTATAAGTGTTTAATATTTTAATTTATTTGTTGACATTTATTTTATATTCATTTATTTTGATTTTATTACTTATTTTGATTTAATAAAAAATATTCACTAAAAATATTCTTAACTAATACTTAATTTATTTTATAAATAAGATTTTTGCGAACAGTGCTAATCAGACAATTAATATTTTTGAAATAATGACCTCGGCTATTGTTTAAAACATATTTGCTATATCTGAAATGTTCTCCATGTCCTTTTTGCAATATTGATAAACAATGAATCAACTATTATATTTGCAAATAAGAAATTAAATCAAAAATATATAATTCACAGAATAATTATTATGAAGTTATAATTATATCTGAAATGTTCTCCATGTCCTATTTTGCAATATTGATAAACAATGAATCAACTATTATATTTGCAAATAAGAAATTAAATCAAAAATATATAATTCACAGAATAATTATTATGAAGTTATAAATATCACAAAAGTTATCTATAAATTCATTTATTATAGAAATGCAATTTATCGAGGTATTTCAATAAACGTTTGAAAGCAACATATTTTAATTAAATACTTGGCTCGAGTTCTATGAATTCATGGTTGGGTTCACAAAACTATTGAAAAACATTTCTTAATTAGTTTTAGATATTAATGACCCAAACATTTGGTTTTTGTTGTTTTGTTCGCCAGTGAATGCAATTTAAATAATAGATAAACTGAACAAATGATTCATTCAATTATTCAATCCTTTGTGCCTTTATTACTAGAAAAACAAAATAAAAACTTAAATTAAAACTCATTCAAAATTATTTCGTGTTTTAATATATATTTAAAAGTTAGTGAAATCTACAGTTAATACAAAAAGGTTTGAAAATGCGTTCAATTATTTTATTTTTAATTATTATTAATATAATTGAGTCAAAAAGACTTGAAAATCAAAGTCAAGAATACGAAATAATAGGTAAAGATTTCTATTTGTGTTTTAATCACTTGAATAAATTAAACAACTTTAATTAAAAGATCCAAATGTCAAACAAAACAACCGGAAAGGAGTTATAAATAAACAGAGAAAAGGCGGTCGACTACCCGCCCAACGGATGCCACCAACTCATGAAACACAGGATCCTAACTATGAACCCGATTCACAAATTGGTAATAGATTTGGACCTAATTATAGACCAGATATGAGACCTGATATGAGACCTGATATGAGACCTGATATGAGACCTGATATGAGACCTGATATGAGACCTGACATAAGACCTGATATAAGACCAGATTTAAGACCAATACACGGCAATAATGTGAATGTAAATAAAAACACCAATAATAATCACATAAATCTGAACATCCATGTGGTCAGTGGGGGCCGGGATTATGTGCGTCCATACAGAACATTCT